TGGTATCAACACCTACTCACTTCACAAGCACAAGTGAAACACTGATAGACCTAGTATGTACCGATCTTCAGGCGAAGTGTTTATCTGTTGAGATGTTGGGTAATGAAGTCTATGGTCATGCAGTTATTGTTTGTAGGTTTGATATAAAAAAAGAAAAGGTTAAGCCTTGCATAATACAATACAGAGCTTTAAAAAATATCAATGTCGAAAAATTTAACTTAGATTTAGCTAATTTGAATTGGGATAACTTTTCGCATTTTACGGTAAATAAAATGGTGGAAAAACTGAATTCGAACATTTTGTCTGTATTTGATTCCCATGCACCTATTAAGAAAAATTATGTAAAAGAGCCTTCTCCACCTTGGATTACCGACAATATCAGGTTAATGATGAAACTACGAGACGAAGCATTGGCTAATTATCGCAAAAATAAAAGTGAAACGAGTAGAGAATATTATAAGCAGTTAAAGTCCTTAGTGACGGCTTCTTTAATAAATGAAAAACAGGCATATTTCCGTTACAACATCAATAATAAAATTAATGAACCTTAAAAATTTATGGAAAAATCTAAAAAGAACCATATTGCCACAAAATCAAATAGATGACATACCTTCACAATTTAGTGATCCAAATGAAATTAATAATTATTTTCTAAAAGTGCCTGGGTTTCAAACAACTGAGATTTCCAATTTAACTTATTTTGAATTTCATAAGTTATGTGATGCAACGTTCTCGATCGCCTCGGTTAGTCCTAACGAGATTTTGCGTACAGCCCTTAAATTAAAGTCGAATGCAATTGGGATTGATAATATATCATATAAAATGTTAATAATGACGTTGCCTGAGTTATTGAATTATATATGTGAGATCATAAATTCATCCATAAGAACTTATACTTTTCCCGATCTATGGAAGATTGCTAAAGTTCATCCTCTGCCTAAAACTGCCAACCCTCTGGATTATGGAGATCTGCGCCCGATAAGTATTCTGCCGTGCTTATCTAAAATCATTGAAAAAATAGTTTGTAAACAGCTCGCCGAATATCTAGAGAAAAATAATATCTTTCCAATGTTTCAATCTGGTTTTCGCAAGGGACGAAGTACTACCACGGCCTTGATCGATGTGGTTGATAATATTGTATCTGCTCAAGATGATCGTATGTGTACCTTGCTAGTTCTCCTGGACTACTCTCGCGCATTTGATGCTTTAAATATACCGTTGCTCTTGTCGAAGATGAACTCGTATGGCTTTGATCGTGGTGCACTCTTGTGGTTCAATAGTTATCTGAGTAACCGAAGACAATATGTAAGCTTAGCTTTAGACAATGGAAACCTATTCGAATCACAAATTGCTCCAATAAAAAGAGGCGTCCCGCAGGGTTTCATCTTGGGTCCTATTCTTTTTAATTTGTATTGTGCGGACTTGGTAAAACATATAAAAAATTGCCAGTATCATATTTATGCGGATGATACTCAGTTATACGTTTCATTTAGACCCGATAACTATGAAAGTGCTGTTAGAAACTTGAACGAGGATCTGGTGCGTGTTGCAGACTGGTCGGAAAGAAATTGTTTGTTGCTAAACCCTGATAAAACAAAATTCATGCTGTTCGGAACTAGAAAGCAACTGCAAGATTTGCCGCAAGATATAGAACTGTTTCTTAATAGTAAAAAAATAAAAAGAGTTCACATAGCTCGCAATTTAGGTTTAAAAATTGACGAAAATCTGAAATTCGAGGAACACATTGCAGATTCGGTAAAAAATTGTTTTTATCGACTTAAAATCCTATACAAAATAAGGTCTTTTCTGTCAGAGGAATTGCGTGTTCAGTTAACCGAATCACTGGTGCTTTCTAAGCTCAATTATGCTGATGCCGTTTATGGACCACGTTTACTGGGTAGGACTGAGCGACTCATATAACGTGTACAAAATGCCTGCGCTCGTTTTTGTTTTTCTGTGCCTGCCAGGTGTCATGTCACCCCATATCTAAATGACCACTTGATCCTAAAAATGAAATCCAGAAGGAAGTTGCATTTGGCATGTTTGCTTTTCGGTGTTATTAATTTCAAAGAACCGTTATACTTGTATAATAAGCTTAAGTGGGTTGCTGGTGGTAGGCAGACTGAGAGGAGGCAATGTTCACAGCAATTATCTATACAACGACATAATTCGGCCTCTTTCAAAGGAGCTTTTCGCTATGCTGCTTCCAAAATATGGAACAATATCCCGCCACCCCTAAGAGCTATGAAGTCGAACGTTGGCTTCAAAACTAAACTAAAAAAATATCTTTTGGATGCACAAATAGCTATAGGTATATATAATGCAAATAACTCTTATATATAGCGGCTTCTTGTAATGAATTGATATTAATTTCCAAAAGTTGCTTAATTTTAAATTCTCATTTTTATTAAATGTACGTGTGCATGGTATTTATATTTATGGTGAATGTAATGGATGATTTATTTTAAAATATGAATAAATTACAATACACATATATAATGATAATTGAAATTTTTACTATTTTTAAATGAATTTGTTATTTGTAATGTTTAATTTCTTTTAAGTTTAATTACTTGTAAGAGGCTTTCATGTCGACAATTTGACATCTATGTGTCAAAAAAAGACAATTAGGCGTCAATTGAAAAACAACGTCAGGTTTAGCAACCTGACAGTGAGCTGAATTGGCTGCCTATTTCGGTGCAATGTGTGACGCATTTTTTTCTTTTTTTAATTATATTTTTTTTTTAATTTATTGTAATTATTATAAAATGTTTTATGTCTATTAATTTGTGCACCGGAATAAATACATTTTCTTTCTTTCTTTCTATTGTAGGGGCTCAGACATTTATTTAATAAGTTTAATTGCTCACCCATCCTGTGAACAATCCTAGCGAAAATTGTATAATAAAAACAATCGCGGATAGCGCCGCTTATCCGTGGCTCTTGCGAGCTAAATCTATATATTACTTGTAAATTGATATAAATTTGTGAGATGATAAATAAAAATAGAAGTTTAAATTGTTAATGTAAAAGTTAGTGTAAATTGACCTCAATTATATACCTAGGATCAATCATATTAAATTAATCAGTTTTGTTCGTTGTCGTCTCACAGAGCACTCGTGTAACGTTCACCTTAGTAAAGATTAAAAATTACCCCCAATTAATAAGCAAAAAATTGGTTATTAAGAAATGTGTGAGATGCAATAGTAATATTAACAAAAAAAACTCTTTACCGATGAAATAATTTTAAAAAATCGAGGAGCACTACAACAAACAAAAAGATCGAGTGTATGCACACAGCTGTAATGAAGCTTCCGAGATATTGGCCAAAGTTCAGTGACGCCATCATCCAGCATACGTCATGGTTTGGTGGGGTGTCCTCTCGCAAAGGGTTAAAAACTCTAAAAAGGAAAAAAAGGAGTGAAAACTTCAACCAAAGTGTATTAAGATAGGTACCGTGTTAGAAGCGGTAGTTAAACCTCTGAACAAAACCTTATTCAAAAAGTAAGTGTGAACATTCCAACAAGATTAAGCCCCGGGTTATAAGGTGCGCACTACCCAAATTTGGTTTGAGCAAAATGTTCTTCATAAAGGCTGATGATTGGCCTTCGGCAGGTCCGGACTTAAATTCTTAAGACTATTGAAATTGTGTCTGTGGGGATATGGCCTGCTCTAAGCGTCGCCCAAATGCTGAGTCGCTCAAGAAGTCTTTAGAGGCAGCAGTGACCAAGTTTCCAATGGAAACCGTTCGTAAATCCATCGACGAATGGCCCGACCGTTTAAAAGCGTGCGTTAAAGCTAAGGGTGGACATTTTGAAGAACTAGTTTAGTACGTTAACATATTTTTTTCACTCTACATAATCACTTATAAACTTTAAAATAAAATATTTTTTTCAGAAATAATCGGATATTTTCTATGTAACAGAACTTATGGCTAGACTAGGTATGACCGTACTTTTTAAACCTATTTAGATTCAATATAGAGGCTGCAACTTAGATTACTGTAGCTAATAGTACTGCAAAATCCGTATTTAAAAACGAGTATGATGTTTTTGTATATTACAATACAGCTCGGAATTTGCAGTATAGATAATGAGAAAGTAGTTTCGATTATCTTCAACCGGTGTTGCCTTCACCCTGTTGCATCCCACAGGCGTACCTCAAATAAATCGTCACACTATATAATGAACTAGTTGTTAACAAGCCGCGTAAATTATAAAACCCGAGTATGATGTACTTTCCCGTAGATGAAATAATTTTTATAATTGGTCCAATGGTTTCGGAACCACATGCAAATGAAAACAATCAAACATTTGCTCTTTATAATATAGATGATAAGAGGTACAATGGCGTAGTGGGTTAACGCATTTGGTTTTTCGGTTCTCTAGAATCATTGCTAGAGACTTAGGCGGTCGCACTTTAGGACTCTTACAATTAGTGGTTAGCCTTCCTGGTAATTCCCCCATTGCGGAAAACCTTCGGCGTGGAGAGAGGGAGGTTCCCGGATCCAAGGAGCCCTCCGGATTCAACCCAACAAGGTGGAAAAGCGAAGATATGTATTATTAAACCCCTAAAACCTTCGCGATATTATTGTGACGAGTGTGTAGCCAACAAAATGTTTTTATAATAAATCCTAATATACGTATTTAAAAACGAGGAAATATTTTATTATTGCTTTTGTTCCCGCCCACAAACGAAATGAAAGTTGGATATCCTGAATAGAAATGCGCTCATTCGTTAAACAAATATATCTAAATCTTTTGCGAACCCTTGCATAATAAGGATCACATAGGTAAATAATATACGTGTAATATAACCTATAAACAGAATTTGATTGTTTGATTGTTTGTTTGCATTGAATTGGCTCTGGCACTACTGGACCGATGTCATAAATTCTTTCACCTACGGGAAGCTAAATTATACGCTTATGATATGGATATAAGTTATTTACGCTAACGAATCGTGGAAAAACAACTGTCATTAAATTAAACAATATATGCTGTTTATATTTTTAATTATTCAAGGCTTCTGATCTTTAGGCTTTTCATCAGTTCTCTGCACAGTTATCAAATCATCTTCCTTGGATTCTGTAAAAGTAATAGGTATCACAGTTTCACATGGCATATTAATATCACATGTACACCTCGGAGCGGTAACCGTCAATAAACCATTAGGGGATAAGTTAGTTTTCATTTTACAAGGATCACAGCCATGAGGCAACTTGAATTTTCTAACAAAATGTCTCATAACATAGCCATTTTTCATTTTCTTCTCCTGTTTTCCTTCTATTATTACGTATTCAGGTCTAGCTTTCACTCTTATCTCTTCTTTAGCAAACTGTCTCACATCAATAGTGAGTTGAAATCTCTCTTTACCGATCTTTATTGAAGGTCTAACACCTCTCATTTGCTGTATCCAATTATATACCATTGGACGCAGTTTAATACCCAAATAGGGAGTTAAAAGCATGATCAGTCGCTTTGTGATCTACATACTACTTATTAAATTATTGGAACTTAAATATGAATCTATATTTTAAATGTTTTGAAATCTATCTGCCATGTCTTTTACTTAACGCTAGCAAAGAGTATGTAAAAAACAAAGAATAAACACTCACACTAATAAAAAAGAAACTCTATGTTTTATTTGTGGTGGATTTAACACCATTTTGATTCATTGCCATCTTTCATTAATTTCATTTTACATGTAAAAATTAATTTATTCACTTATCATTGGCCGAATTGCGCGAAACGCACAGATAAGCCATTAATAAAAGAAGAATACCATTTTGCCTTCTTACTTACTCTATGATCTTGCCCAGTCTGCCTGCCATTTTACTTAAGTTTTTGTCCCTAGCACTCTGAGGTGAGATCAATCCAAATGTATTGTATGTAATACATAATTTATTACTTACTCTATGGTAGTGTAGTGTATGGTAGTACCTACCTATCTGAACTAAAAAAAATCTGCAATTCAATATGGTTTTAGATAAAATTATTCTAAGAAATATAAATAATAATATCTAAGAAATATAAGTGTAGGTGTTCCTTTAAATAAGTTATATAATATGTTTCCTCCTGTTCTGTCGTGCTGTCATTTTCAAGGATTCCTGGAAGAGATCGCTTTCAGTAAGACCGCCTATGACCACTCTTAGCTATAAGCAGTTTTGTGTGCGATTTTATTTCTCTATCTATATTAGTTGTTTACAGGATAATAAAGTTGTGGCTGTTTCTCTGAAAACAATATTTCGTTCATTTTCAAAACTCTAATGGACTCTAAAAATGCGTTCTCTATAATCTATGAAGCAGCTGAGGTAGGACCTGACATTGTCCCTAATGTACAGGTAAATCTTTACGATTTCAATTGTCAGGGCCCTGTATAAAAATTTGTATGGGGGCCTCTATGAAGGGTAAAGAGAAAAAAAAATCGTATCTACATCGATTACCGTGGGATTCCCCTGTTACCAATTTTGAAACGCAAGCTTGTAGGTGGGAAAAAAGATTTTTTTTTATTACTTTTGTCATTTCTGAAACTAAATTTGGGAAGTTTTCATTAATTTTAGCTTACGCACTTTGGGGGCCACCATGGCCCGGGGGCCCTGTATAATTGATACGGCAGATACGGCGGTAGCTACGCCCCTGTTCTTGAACCACACATGACCTACAGGACTGACAAATTTTTCCAAGCACTTGTTAGTTTTACGCTACTACATAGCGTATTTTCAACAATGTTCAAGCAATCTGCTCATACAGTCGAAAGAAATATTTCTAAAACAAAAGTTTCGATAAAGTTTGAAAATTTGTTCTAATTATTATATTTGATCAATTTTTAATACACAATTATATACTGAAATGTGTTCTTAATAAAAAATGCTTAAAAACCCACTTTGTCTTTGACATTTTGAGATGAGATCTTTAAATAAAAACAATTTTATAAAGATAATACAGATGCTTTATTTTTTCTTCAACTGTCAACACTTCAGTAACAATCTATATCACAATATATACTATCAGTCTCACAACAAACTACTAAGGTAGGATAATCATCTCGAAATGCATCTTCCAAACACATCTTAATATCTATTAGCGACTTTGGTGCTTCCTCAACTTTAGAGTTCCAAAGCTACACCTTAGATTAATATAAAAACACTTAATTCACTTCTTTTTTTCGATTTTCTTCTCGTCTTTTTTGGCTGGCTTAGACTCGGACGTTTCGTCTTTGATTTCTTTGCGTACAGGTCCGGTACGTGCTATTGGTATGACGCGCTCGTTTGCTTGTAGTGCTGGAACGTCACGTGGTGCAACGATTGTTAAAACACCATCTGAAGATAGTTTAGATTCTACTCGATCAGCTATTACATCCTTCGGCAGCGCATAACGTCGCGAAAACTGTCGCGAAACGTACCCATGTTCATCACGCTTCTCCTCATGTTTACCCTCCACCACGATGAAACCATCCGCAGTCTTCACAGATATCTCTTCCGGTGCAAAATGTTGCACATCCAAGTTTATTTGAAACTTATCCTTATCCGCCTTGATACTGGAGCCGATGTCACGAGCTGCGGCCGCGAGCTGTCTCCAGGGTCGGAAGTAATCGGTGGATAACGAAGGCAACGCGACAGCTGTCAGCAGATCGTCTGGTGTAATCGTCAATCCGAAATCCTGATCGAGGAGACGGCTAGGCCAGTTGTGAGAGAGAGGACAATCGTAACCCCAGTTAAATGGATACAGAGCCATCGTTCTTCTTTTTTTGATCCGTAGAAAGTCGTTAAAGTTGAGAACTGAGATAGTTCAATCGCTTTGTAACACTTCGATTATTTTCAAATTCACTGCCGTCTGCCCGCCACAGTTTTGTATTTATACGCTAGGCAGCGCCATCTGGTATCAAGGAGAAAATTCTCGAAGCGCGTTCTGTTGCGACAGGCCGGCGCAGCTGCGCGCGTCAAAACATTAAATATGTGTGTGTGTGCAGCCAGATGTTTTTATGGAAGTGAGAGTAAAAACGGGGCATGGTCACGGTCGAGCGAGGATGCAACACACAAACAAAATACAATTGAGTGATAGATAAATATGTAGGTATGATATAATGAAGATAACTCGAAATTTCGTGAAGGAACTTCTATTTATGTTCAAAGTTGTAAACATATTTTTGACGGACGATAACTGATGTACCTAGGTAGGTATACTTAATAGATGCCAGTTTTTATCAACCAATAATGGTGCTAAAATAACTGAATGCTAAAATAAGTACCTAGCTTAAAATAAAATGAATAGTTCCGACATTTTTTTATTTTTATGAGATACTAGCTGTTGTCCCAGCGACTTTTCACCTGCATCATACGGGCTACCCGTAGGCATTGAGCTAATAAATAGTAGTTCAATGCCCGTAGGTGATGGAATTTTTAAAATCAGAGCCGTAGTTTATGACCCTATTCGATGCAAACATACAAACAAATAATCAATCTTTTTTCTTTACGATACTAGTGTGGACAACAAAGAGCATTTTGTGAGAAGGATGAAGTCGTTTATTTCTACTTTTGTAGTAGATTGTAGTAAGATTTCAATGTTATTCGATGATATCTGGGGGTAAATTAGAATATAAAAAAGATTCGCAACCCACGTACCCACTTACCTATACCTGCCTGTCTATGCCTATACTGTGACGATATCAAACCATCAAACCAAAGGGATTTTATGAGATTTTTGTTCATTTATACATCGATTATCCGGACTGATTCGTCTCTGCTTCAATGATTTTTTGACGATGCAGCGAGACATAGGTACTATGGTCTTTCATTCATTTCGTTTTACATGTAGAAATTAATTTATTTACTCAAAATTGACAAAATTGTGCGAAATGCACCGATAAGTCATTAATAAAGGAAGAAGAAGAGGAGATATACTATGAAATGTATAATTGATTATCCGTATTTTTGATTATATCGCTCACTGAATAGTACAGTGGCACAACTCAAAAACCATTATTTCGAGAAAACGCCACATTTTGGTGACATCCTATAGATAATTTAAAGAAAAAATAAAAAACTTAACAGTAATAATATAATACAAACGATTTAACTGTTATGCTAAAAAATTAGATTTTAATAATTATAAATATATTAAATTTTCATAACTTCGGACAGCGTTTCTCGATTCAATGAGCGATGTGGAATAACCTGGTTTTAATCGATCCGGATAATCAGGGTTATAGGTACTATATTCAAGTTAATACTTTTGAAGTTATTAAAGAAAATAGTCGAAAATGTCGAAAACTCGATTAGTCTGAAAAATCTTAATCCAATTTTTTTCTTTCCGCATAGAAAGTATTATTGTATTAACTACTTTGATTTTAATTTCGATATTTTTTAAGTACCTGTGTAAGTAGATAGTTTATCGAAGTGCGTATTGTTGGATAAAAATAGAATTAAACGTATGGAATTTACCAAATCCGCATATTTGTTTTACTATCTACGTACCAGGATTATTATTTTCCCGGTACAGCAGTACTGACCATACTCAAAACATTCGATAATGTTCCAGAATTCTGCCAACTCAAGGCCAAAAAGGGCGTTGACATTGCACGGTGGGTATGGGTACGGCTAGACGATACGTGACGCTACTCAACTTCAGAGGTACTCAACTGTATGGGTCGGTTTCAGTTTTTATCTAAGGCTAGCTGTTTTCCCGCGGCTTTGGCCGCATTATTATATCATCCCGTAGATGAAAATTCTGCCAGTAGTTTCGGAATCTATTCAATGCTCTTAACATTTCCTACTGTTAGTTTGTCTATATTCTTAAAAAAAAATCTAATATATGTTATCAAACCGGATGACAGCACATACACTAAACAAACTGCGTTGATGCGATTGAACTTGTAGAAATATTGAAAACGTATCTAATTATATAATTTTTTCTATGTACAAAACCTATAATATGTTAATGGCATCTAACGGCCTAAAACAATGAGGTTTTTATTTTTCTGTAATACCAAAAAATATGCATTCAAATAATTATCATTGAGCTTTTAAAAAACTATTAACTGTTTTGTGCTAATGGCGCCTGTTAGTAGCATAAAATAGCAGTAGAATAACCCACGGTAAACAAATATTTAGCAGAAAGTGGTTTAACGTTTAATTTGTAAGCCTTATTAGTCTTTAGGCATATTTAGATGTAGATAGTTTAAATGGCGCTCGCCTGACTTGCTTTTGGTTTTCGTTACAGTAATGACCTAAAATGACCAATTGCCTTTTTATTATGCTAAACGAAATTATGCAAAAGGTAGGTGAATGTGAAAAAGCTTTACATTAAATCAGATCGATTATAAATTCCGATATAATTATATTATGTCTATTGACGACGAAAATACAGAATATAGTTCATTAATTGACTTTTATTTACATAAAGTCATATTTTTATATGAAGTGAAACAAAAGCAATGCAATCATGCTGTCTCCAATTATCATGGCAATCTGTGGTATAATTTAATTTAGTATAATTTGTTAAGTACAAATTAAAAAAAAATACAATTTTTATGTTATAAAGATTAGGTATACTTTCAAAATTACATATAATAATATTAACTGTATTATATGAAATTTTATTAGTCGTTCATGGTTAAAAAGCGGTTTTTTAAGTTGAGCACCCCTGACAATGTAATCGTTTAGTTATACTGGAATATTCCAGACTATTCCTGATGTTTCTACTCGATACTAGATGGCGCTGTTGTGCGAGTATAAATATGCGGCTGCACGGCCGCTGAGGTAGTGAATTTGAAAAGTGATCGAAGCGATACTTAACTAAGCGAACTAGAGCGATCTTATTTTCTACTTCATCTGTTTTAAAAGAGACAAAAAATGTCGCTGCTACCGTTTGTATTTGGCTATGAGCATCCTCGTTACCACCGTCATCATTACTGGCCCAGTCGTCTTTTGGACCAAGATTTTGGATTGTCGTTAACACCTGACGATTTGCTTGCGGCAGTCGTACCACCATCTCGGTCATCCGACTACTTCAGGCCTTGGAGACAGTTGGCTGCCGCAGCACGTGATATCGGCTCTAGCATTAAGGTGGATAAAGATAAATTCCAGATAAATTTGGACGTGCAACACTTCGCTCCGGAGGAGATTTCTGTGAAGACTGCTGATGGTTATATCGTGGTGGAGGGTAAACATGAAGAGAAACGTGACGAGCACGGTTATGTGTCACGGCAATTTACACGACGATACGCGTTGCCAAAGGGTGTGGCGCCGGAGCGTGTGGAATCCCACCTATCTTCCGACGGCGTTCTGACTATTAAGGCTCCACTTGAAGCTCCAGCGTTGCAAGCGAATGAGCGTCCCGTACCGATAGCACGCACTGGACCAGTTCGCAAGGAAATCAAAGATGAAACATCTGCTGATGTCAAGTCGGAAGAGAAGAAAGACGAAAAGAAATAATTTTTTTCTAGAAGGTGGAGTGCAAAATTTGAATTTAAGTGAAGGTACACCAACAAGCTTTAAATGCCGCAAACGTTAATTCATAGTGTGTATCAACGGTTGATTCTTTTTCATTTGTTATTATTGTGGAAATTTTATCTAAGATTGATATGAAGGATCTTTTTTATTTCTTGAGTTGGCAGTGCCATAAGACTGATAGCTACTTTTTTTTTTGGTTTGTAAGAAATTTTAAAAATAAATGTTCCTAATTTATTTTTATTCTGTTTCTTTTTTATTATCCTACCTTTTTAATAATAGGCATTTTCCAGTCAAAGAATAAATTCACCCTTCGCTCTTATTTCCTACATTACTACTGCCCTAAAATTAAAAAAGAAACTAGCTGATGGTCTAGTTTAAAAAATAAAAAATTTAAAGAAAAACAAAAACTATTAATAAGTTATAATTTATTAATTTTTATTTTAAACTTTTTAGTTACGGTTCGATGACTTCGTTATAAGATGGTTAAATTCGCAATCTAGTCATTTCATTGAGGGAGTTAATATCGTGGGGATTATTAAGTAACTTGCGATGGTCTAAACTACTGATGATTAGACCTTCTAGAGACATAAGTCTGCTCAAATCTACATAGGTATGCTTTCTTTTTCCAAGAATATTTGTTCTTCATGCTTTTTAACTGTTTTTTATAGTTTTACGTTTATACTTTAAATAAAAACTTAAATCAATAAGTAAGAAAATTAGCGAGAATGTTTAGTTAAACAACTTTAAATCGTTATATATCCTAAACTATTGTTTAAAATGAAAAATGATAAAAGGAACCTAAAGATGATTTTAAAATACCAATTCAACGATACCCCACTTGACATAGATCATCGTTTTTTTTTTCATTTTGACAATATGGCGTCTGGTTGTCGCTGTGGTGAATTTTTATTACTGTCATGTCTTTAGTGACACTCGTAAGGTTAAGATGAATCGATAGACGTAAGAATGATCAAAATCGGCCTACGCGTTTGGTGTGTAGAACGCTACATAGAAACAAACATACATACATACATAGACTGATAAACACATTACCCTCCTTTGCGTGGCGCAGTCGGGTAAAAAGCATATGCTGTTTTTCCGCAACTTCACACAACGCCGTATGATGTATACTCCATTCATTATAGCATTAGATAGAAGCTAAATAAGGTTCTTTTTATGGTATACTTTGTGACAAAATATCAATAATCATGTTACTCTTAAGACGGACGGCTAATTTGCTACATATTCACTTAAATACCAGCTGCTATACTTAACTGTTATCATTTAAGCTATCTATTAAACAAATTTATGAGTATTTGATTAACTTAAATGATTTAATAACTATTACAATAAAGTGTTTATCTTAAAGAACCTAAAGAAGCAGGGTTGGATAGTTTCGGCACGATTCTCATGTCACTATAATTCTATCTAATTTAAAACGTTGCCCTTCAATCGTTTCGGCAGCACAGTTTTTTTGTCAGACTATGAGGTATTCATAATTGTCAAAATACGTCATCTGGGATTGTCATTTATTATGAATGCTACTGCAATTCTTGTTGTTTTGCCCTTTTCCGTGATTAAGTTGCTATTGTTTTATTTTTGTTTTGTTTTTGTTCTTAAGTTTTATTAAATTTGGACGATGCCGGTGCAGGCCCGAGTGGCCTACAACAATTACGCTCTAAGCCCCCATACCTACCCTTAACCTTTGACATTTCAAGAAGTTTTACCAATGTCTTCATCAATAGTTTAATGTCTGAATAAATGTTATAAAAGTAATAATAAAAATTTCATTTTGTTTACCTTTCTTTACTGGGCATAGATATAACTATAAATTCTATTCTAATTATAATCAAATCAACAGATATGTAGATAGTTTAGTTCCATGTTGGCTTGGGAGTAAAAGATGAAAAAATGTTGGCCTCATCGCAACCCTGAGGTACTGTAAAAATTAGAAAATTGATCAGCTCTTTCAGACTACCTAATGTTCAAAGTTTCAACTAAACTATAATATATATTTTTTAAATTTATCTAGAAAATAAAACGTTCTGCACTGCTGCTTCTATGACCCTCTTTTTTCTAATGTTATATGAATGGAGTATAGCTACTCGTAAGTGGACGAGTTTTTAAAATCGGTTCAGCAGTTTCAGTTAACAAACAATCGAAATTTTCGTCTTTATTATATTAATATAGAATAGATAATACAAATATAGCTAAATGCAAATAATTAAAAATCAGAGTTTTACGTTTCGAGGTCATTATTTAAAAAATCGTGCACGTTGCACACGTGTACTAAGTTCTGACACTGCCAGTAAGTTATTAAAATTAATATTGATCTCTCTTCTATAATTCGATATTTCCTAGTTAACGATAGTATTATGATTTATTTAGGTAGGGTCGATGCACCTGTTTCCCGTCCACTTCCTATTTTCGATCATTTAACGGTAAAAAGACAAAAAACAGTAATGTGGTATACTCAAGTGTCCCAAACTTAAACTCATGGTAATCTGGATACACTGATTACCAAGCCCCCCCCTCATATACAAGTCCATACGCATAAACAAAGCTTTAAGCCAAAACAAACTATTATAAATATAAAAAAAGATTAATCTGACCATTAAAAATTATACAATAATTAAAAATATATTATATTTGGAGTTACTAACTATTTTTGGGGACAAATTACTTGGAATTACGGAACATTCATATTTTTATGCTCAAAGTTGACAACTCTCCCAGTTGGACGAAGAGGCTTATCTATCCTACATTTTTAACATGAATTTGTAACCTTATAATTTGTACACTATTGCCTTAATAGTCTTCAGTTCCAAATCTGACCGTGTTGTGAGCTGAAGGTTGCTTTTACTCTGGCTGAAAGGGGAGCCATAGAATATTCCATTGAAGTCTCCTGTTTTCGGATTCACGGATCAATAGTATAGTGCCTATCGATACTTTTGATAGACTTAGCTATAGATATCGCTAGTTATAGTCGACTAACGATGGCGAGTCTAATAAGAAGTGTGTCATTATAGAGAAGTTTATATTTTAGAACATTTTATTATTCTAAGTTTTCAAACTAAAATCATCTTAGAATAGAGCGAAATGTAATTCACATTCTTCAAATAACAAGAATTTTGAAGTATAAAAGATGTATGTAATTAAATCAAAGTCGCACCTTTGTATGAACCTCATTTAATTTCCTACAACAAAATTAACCCACAGTTGTGTGGAAATAAAATAAAACCATATACATATTATATTATGCTATTAATAGTAATGGTGTATAAAACAATTTATTTTTTTAGAAGCTCTGTTCCGCATATCACTACGTGCTCTGTATTCACAATTTATTTATATATATATTTTTAATTTAAACTTAATTTTCAATATCGGTTTGGAAATATGTTTACTTTTAAAAGGTATCACTCAATTCTGAAAGAACAATTAATAGGCAATTTCATTTGGTTTTGAAAAAAAAAAAACAATTCTGTTAAATAAACTTTATTCGGTCGAACTGTGTTATGATTTTTTTTATATAACTAAAGAAAATATAAATGCAATAAAGATGACAGAAATAATTTATTATATTATAAGGATATGATTGTATTTATTCATTACGTCTGACTAAATCAAAATTCAAATTTGTTTTCCTTAATTTTAACTCTACAAAGAGTTTTTTGCCCTTCTCATATAAAAGTTTTTAATTTTTTAATTATATCGAAGTTTCCACGTATTTAGTTTTACGTTTAATATTGAAACGTATTAATCGTAAAACTAAGTATAAAAAAAGTATTGAAAGTTAGTATTGACGATTAATTGAATTTCCCAACACTATCGTAATGGAGACTAGTAGGTATAAAGCATATTTTTACTAGCAAAAAAAAGAAAAGAATTTACATGCCTTGTTATTTCCAAACCGATATTAAAATTACATTCTACTTTTTAAAATATTGCTATAACACTGATTCTACGTCATTTCTATCGATGTTTCTGACAGTTTCATCTAATACACAACAGTTTATTTAGATTTTATATATATTTATTTATAAGCATTCTTGAGTTTGTAAACACGTTTAATAAAAAAACACACTAAGTAATAGTCTCCCTGAAAACAGAGTAAAATAAAGAAAATCATTTTATTTCTATCCAAAGAATAAGTGTAATATTTACAATTACATAAAGATTTTACAAGAAATTGTTGTAAGTAAATATTTAAAGAATAAGTTGTGTTAAAAAAGTGCTTTTTAATATTTCTTTTATATGACGTAACTATCTTGTATTAACTTTATTACATAGAAAATATGGCGAAGGTATTAAGGATCTCTTTTCATAATTCAATAAAAATACTTTACTTTTAATGTTTTCGAATGACAGGACGTCCATTATTATACCTATTCATTATTGGAATATTTTAAATTTCTAAACATGTATGCAAATTTCTAAACAATAGATTTGTAAACATTTCAGTAGCTAAGCAAATTTATCAGAAAAGGTATATAAAAGAATTTTTTAAATTAGTTACAACAGAACAATATACATATATTTCTTCATATTTTCATTTGTAAATTTAATTTAATTTAAACCTACCTCCACTTTTCTCCTAGTCTATGCTACGTAAAGAAGATCGCCCATTTTTGCTTTGCAACATCTAAATGCTAGAAATATAATAGGTACAAAATTGAGCCTTAATGATATGTATCGTTAGAATCACTTTGCGAAATATTTTCTAACAAGTTTTTCGTGTTTTTTTTTTTTTTACTTTTATGCGAATTATTGCTCAGTGCTAGTTTATACATGATGTAAATAAATATTTTCCTATTCTAAAAACTCGGAACACAATTTTCACGAATTTATTATGACTTATGATAATCGATACAGATTCGGTGATGTCTCGTAATAAACATTATTTCCCAATAAATACAGTATTTTGTTTGTGATAAGACTTTTATATTTTAAAGTGATATTATATTAATAAAAATAGTATTTAATTAAATACGTGCAATACTTCTCTGAATGATATTTGATTATTAGGTAGTCAAATATAAGTTTGGATGTGATATGCTCATTCTATCACATAATTATTTTATATTTCATTTCTTTTTATTTTATAGAAAAAATACTTAAAAAAAATACCAGCATCTGATGCCTGGTTAAGATCCAAACCCTTAATATTTTTCTCGACTGCCATGACCACAAATCGTAATGACACTGAGAAATTTCTTAAACACACGTTACTTCCGTTATGACCACCCAAACTTAGGGTATCTGGGATTGATGACTTTTAAAGAAATTTCATTAACATAAATATCAATATAGCATATGAATTAAAAATTTATCATGTCTATAGTTATATTTTTGTTTTATTATTTCATGCTGTATAACCACAAGAAAAGAAAGCTGTAGAAAATACTGATGTATTTTGTTATACATATTACAATTTATTTTGTGAATTTGCATTAATTTTATTAATATTACGGGCTTAGCATGAAAAGAAGCCATTCAGAATAGTATAGATCTTTAAATATACAAACTGACGTTATTCACACCTCCTTTTTTTGTAACGACAGGAAAAATTATAAGAATATAATTAGTCAAAATTGACATTTTTAGAATATAACCATTTTATATTTTACATAATGATATTGATATGTATGAAGATATGTTTAATTTTTTAAATGTAAAAATAAAACTTATTGTATAAATATGTAATTTTTGTTGTATACATTTAAATTACAAAAAAATATTCTGCAATGTAAAACACAAATATACATATATTCTTATACCATATATATTAATTATATAAAACAACAACCATATGATAAAGAAAAATAGATAAAACATTTCTTTCAAAAAATGATATTTGTTGCCTATAGGTAATGCTTGGAAGATATTTTATAATTCCATAAGTAATGGCAAATGTTTTCACTTTTAAAGGATGTATTAAGTTAACCATAGCGTGTAATGTTAAGAAATAAGATGATACTGTAACTGTATTGTTTAATTTTGTAATTATAAAAAGTGTTTTTTTTTTTTTATTTCTTTAGCGTCCTAGAATTTGACTAAATTGAGTTACACCGTTTTTTTCGCAAGTTTCAGTTTCGTACACATGATGTAAAATAATTGCTTACTCTAGTCTACGCTTGAAACAAAACGTAGTGTTTATTTTTATAATATGAAATGACATTTTCTTTCAGCAGATCTCGTTTGTCACTTCATAGAATCTAAACAGCAGTATCTATCATCACTATTAACAGGTATTTAAAACTCTTCAGAACACAAGATTCTATTTCTACTCCAAATTAAAGCTTCTTGCTTTACCATTTTAACACTTTATAATTTACGTCTAGGTTGTGTCACGTCCCAGAAATATTATAATCTAAGTGTTTTAACTAAAAGTGCTGTAATGGCGGACATAAAATTAAATTTTAACCCGAATTAAAACCTTGATTGGTTTTTAATTAAGTTTATAATCGTATTGTGGAAATTTGACATTGTATGAAACCATTCATAATTGTGTAGGTATATTTTCTTAAAATTCCTTCTTTTTATATTCTATCACCATGTGCAGCACTAACATATCTAGTAGTTTTATAAACGGTATACACAGAACAGAAGTAATAGTGTGCATAGTACGAATTTAATATTTTTTGAATTTATAATAAGTCTAAATATTGTTCAATATTGTTCATGTCATTGCTGAATGATGGGAAACGGGAATTATTTATTTCTAAAATACAAAATGTTCTAAAAAGTATATTAGTTTACTATAAGTGCTAGTGCTGCCATCTACCCCGAGCTTTGCGTAAAAACCATGAAGATAAAGTTATGCGTTTTATTAGAAAAGAGGACTTTTTAAATAGTTCACGTGATTTTTTTTCAAACAATTTCAAGCGAGATTAATTGATAGTTATTCTTTTTAAAAATCTATTACGATTTTTCAGTTGGAGTTATAGAGAAACCAGATGGCGCTCTTATTTCTATGCGGTATAGAACATACATTTTTTTTTGTCCGCCACTACACTACAATTGGGTGCATTCACATTCATGGTTACAAATTCTCTAAACACATGGAACAGTGGACAACACGTCAAGTTATACAAAACTGTCTTTCTACATTTGATTTCAGACCTTAATAAAATAGCAGCAAGGTTTAAAACCGATTGTGGTGACGTTTACTGATAACTTGATGTATCGCTCTGTGTACATACCAATATCCAACATGCTAAAATTATTATTATTAAACTTTTCGATATAGCTCTCTAATTTACTTAAACGATATTGACTTTTATTACTGTGTAACAGAGCTCTATTTACTGGTACAAGAGCTGTTGAATAGTGGCACGGCCACAGTCTAACAGAAAGGCGAAAAAACTACAACAGACTACTAACACTAGTTGTTAAAAAATTAACTTATCATTTTTTTTCTATTACAGACAATATCGGCTCATTATATCCCAAAAAGACTTTTAAAACTTAATTTAGTTTAATAAAAAAAATGGCGGTGCATTCGTTTATCGATACTCGTTAGTTGGCAATTTTTGAATTACGAATAATAAATTTTTATTCATAGAGGACATTCTCTTGCAATAGAACAAAGAGAAAAATATATACCTGAATAACATATTTTTTTCATTTTAAAACCAACCTTTTGTTTGACCAGAAAACCTGTATAGATAAATTAACCGAGTCCAAACTCATTCACCAACATCAACAGAGACAGGGTTGCATTTTTTAATTACAAAGTTCCTACAACCATCTTCCAGTTCCATCAATCAACATACCCTTAATACTATCTGGGACCAAAGTCATCGTCTAGACAAAATAAACGAGCTCAAACTCCACGGGGTTCCTTCGTTTAATTACTGAAGTCCCGTAACAATCTTTCGGCTCCATCAAAGTCAAAGTCAAAATAATCTTTATTCAAATAGACTTCTTAAAAGTACTTTTGAATCGTCCAAGATTTTTGTTTTTCCCTACCACTCGTTCAGGACGTCTTTTGGCTGATAATAAGAACGAGCAAGAAACTCACCAGCTCTAATAAGAGTAATGACATTTACAAAAACCATGTCATTACCAGATCAATACATTATAAACAGAGAGAGAAAATATTATGGTCTTATAATGATAATATAATCATTTAATAATAATGGAAATAATCAGATCAGCTCCATCCCATATAAATATTGCATTGTCGTTCAAGTTATTAAAGTATGCAACATATCAGCGTAATTGAAAATTGGAAGTCGGCCACATTTAGCTTGCAGGATTTGACCCAATCCAGCTAATACGGCTTGTTAAATAAAGGCTCGTAAAAGTGATTACTTTACAATTAACATCCGAGAATGAAATTCGAAAGACTTGGAATAGTTCTTATAATTATGTTCAGTATCAAGTTGTACCTTTATTGTATCATAACATAAATAATTTTGTGATGCAACAGAGATAGAACCTGACGCTGCCTCTACTGCACAGATAATGTTCAAGGATATAATTTTATGATATGAAATTTCCCGAATTTTCAAATTCGTACAAGTTGTATGTAAAATATCGTGCAAAGGTCAACCAAGGTACTGCCTTAATTAATATTAATATGAAGTCTATAACAGGTCCATCACTAGCGCCATCTAACTTTAGTTATGCAGACAAGTTGCCATTTCATTATCTCTAACATTCGCCTTAAATCATATTTTCTATCTCGACCCTAGCTGAATATTAGAAAGAATTTCAATAATATTTAAGCCAATATTGTACCTGTAATAAAAAAACTACTAGAAACCAAATTCTAAACAGTGTAAAAGGCGTAATACACTTATATACAAAACCCAGCCTTTAAGATCGAGCTACAAGCACCACTCTAAATTGGAAATAAATAAGAAACATTTAACTATGTATAATGATATGTTCAGTTACTTTCAGTCTTCATTCTACTACTAAAGTCAGTCCTAAGCTAACAGATCTCATGATCCCATAAGAAGAGGACGCATTATTTCCAAAACACAAATCAAAAAGCATCTCCGAATCACAAGATTTAGTACATCCATTATCATAATACACATCTCTAGAAAAATATTTAGGTATAATAATTGCATCAGCAACAAGTACATTAAAATTATCAATTAATATTGTAATATTCACAGCATTTATGATATGTATAGTTTCCTTATAATTATTTACATCTATTACACTTAAATCTACACGTTCTGTGTTTTGTGCGCTAAGAGAAGCTAGTGCATCGTGCTTTTCAAGTTCTACAACTTTCATAAATTCATCGTTCAAAATAGTTACAAATTCATTAAAAATATATATCTCGTCGAAGATAATGACATCCGAAGAAAAATAAAGCTTTTTGCTAAAACTATGATCGAATAAATTCGATATGAAATTGACGATAGTTTTGTCGATAGAGGTATTGGTGATATTGTAAAGGATGCTGAAGATAGTGATGATTATATAGAGGATCTTAAGGGGCTCGTGATTTGTAATAGCTGAGCTTGGCGGTGCTGGATACACCACGTCCACTTCGGCGATCTTGAAGATAGAAAGTAGAAGGTGCGAGGATATGTCTTCGTGTTGAGAGTTGATGCGAGACTTGACCACTTTTAGGACATCGATGCATTCCTCCTGGAAATAATGAACAATAAGTTATGGTATCTTCAATATTCCAATTTAGCTAGCCCAGAATCATTTATGTTTTTAAAAAGGAGGTTTGATTAATTTTCTTGTTCGTCTTACTGTAAATTACTGCTTATTATATTATTGCTACTGATATTTACTAGCTGATGATCTTTTCTAGACCCCAATATACTATCCAGTTGGGTTCAGTTCTCTCGGCTCACTCTGAAAGGCGAGAAATTGTCAACCAAAGACATGCTTATCATTGCTGAAGGTCGTGGTCTTTTTTTAAAAACTCTTAGTTTACTGTTTTCGGCTTATAAATATTTGAATTCACCGGAAAGGTGGTTGGTTCTGGGGTCGTTTACCCTCCAAATGGTAGAGTAGTAAATACATACACTCAGTTAATAATACCTTTTCGCGGTCCAATAAGGCTTCCCCGTCTCCGGCCTCTCTGAGCGATTCCTGTTCTTTTTGGGGCACACTAGCGGATATTATCACGTTCTCGTTGCTGATGTTGAAAAGACTGAGGGTGCAGTTAGTCTGGAAAATAAAGATCGATAAAATAAGTACATTAAGCCATACAAGCACACAGGTAGTAAAAATACAGAAGATAAAAGAAGATGCGTCTTAGTAAATTTGTTATTATAAATTTATTATATAATATCAGTGACATAATTTAATTCATGAGTTGTCAACTGTCCTGGTCTCCCAGGATATTTCCTAGTTTTACTAGTGCCCTGGAATGACCTGGATGATTTGGATAGCTTTTAAGCTGCGTAATGAAGTAAATATTTTGCTTCCATACAACAAACGTGTTTCTTTTGTTTGCTCAATATTTATAACGACAACAGGTATACGCTTGAAATATTTACATCATATGTATTTATATAGTAACTTTAAAAATAAATAATAGAATTAAAATTAAACAAATATTTAATGGCGGATCCCGTATAACAAACACGATTCTTTTTGTTCATTTTATCACTTGGCCGCTTTTTAAAAAGTTAGAAATTCTACATTAGGGCCGTGTATAATAATAAAGAAAAAAAGAGACGAAATCAATAAGACATATATGGATAGATAATGATGATATGTGGGCGCTGAACGTGGACCATATCAGTATCCTATTTAGAGTTTGATGGCGTATTAGCCAATTTGGTCTACGATGGCGAAAGTTAAGCAGCTTTTGCAAAGAGCTGACCATCAGATTGGTGACCAAACAAATATTTGAGTTCCTCCATGCTCTTTATGGAAAGGTATGGTCCCGATAAACCCAGCAATATCCGAAATTAACCTTCGCTCATCCACTCTAGGTTGGCGTAGTAGATTGTGGTCTTTTTTTACCCCATGGTTATTCCATGCATAAGGAAAGCTACATACTCAAAGTCAGTAGGAACATTTACAGGTTTATGATATAGATACTATGGTAAATAAATCTTACTCCTTCATTGTGAACGGAGTACAGGTACTGTTGCAGTAGACGCACAGCATCTTCAGCTCCGAGACCGGTATGGGGCCGTAACAGAGCTTCATCTACAGCACTGAAGCCAAGAAGGAGGTATACACCTTCGGGGAGCTTGTATTCACCTATAAACGAGTATATCAAATGTTGTTTGATTATAATAAAAAGAATTGAAATCAGTAAATTAGAGGAGATAAGGATCGACAGCGAAAAGTCTAATTCGCATGCAAATGAACGAGCCGGAGTAGCAGTAGCAGCGGCCGCGGTGCGCCTGGTACGCGGGTGCGGCGCGCGAGTATTTCTGTAGTGTAAATGTATACTCGCCAGGTTTGGGTCGCATGCATATGAAGGAGCCGGAGTAGCAGTAGCAGCGGCCGCGGTACGCCTGGAACGCGGGCGCGGCGCGCGAGTATTTCTGTAGTATAAATGTATACTCGCCAGGGTTGGGTCGCATGCATATGAAGGAGCCGGAGTAGCAGTAGCAGCGGCCGCGGTACGCCTGGTACGCGGGCGCGGCGTGCGAGTAGTGCGCGAGGCGCGAGGAGCAGGGCGCGCGCGGCACGCACGCCACCTTGCACGACACCTGTAGCGACGCCTCGCACACGCACAGGTCCGTGCACTCCGCCAGCTCAGCAGAACGGTACAGCTGCAACCACATACAATACATATTTGAACGGGCATAATACTGTGATAATGTGCCAAAGGATTTTTAGACAAATTTGCCATTAATAAAGTTTTAAGGTTAAATTAAGCTAAAGCATTCCTTGTCACCGGTTTTCGGAATTTCACAGCACCTTGTGAGAGCTCCCCGCTGGCATTATCAAAATGGACGTTTTATGGCAGTTAATAAAGATGCCGAAAGATATGGCATAGTGTGTAAGGGCGTTTGTGAACTACAGTTAATTTTCAGGTACGGCGGTCCGGTTTTTTCCGGTCCGATATATCAGGCCATATGTAGGGGAAGTCCGGGCAACGCGAATAGGTCAGGCAAAGTGAATACCTCACATTATTTCAAAATGGCGTATTCGTGCAAGTCTGTAGCTTGCCATGAGGTCCGCCCCCCTCTCCTCAGTCGTAAACAATTAGAGCAAACGCAAGGTCGCGCGTTGTTTGTGAAAAAAAGGCGAAAAATAATAATATCACAATTTGTTACGATATTTTATGGTACGTCTTTTAATTATTACTATTGTGCCTATAGTGTTACTCTTTTGGAATCATTATTGACGTAAAGTGCATGTTTTCTTGTTGAATTACTGCGATATTCATTAAGTTATTGTGTCTGGATTTGATTGTAGGTTAGTTTTCGTTCAAAAAGTACCTGTCGCACAAAGCGAACACGGGCAAAGTGGATATGGTATCCACTTTGCCCAGTAATGATGTGGCTCGATTATTTACTCCAGAATATTAAAAAAGTGCTGCTGCCAATAATGCCATTAAAGGGTTTCAATCTCCAGGAATTTGGCCAATTAATATGGATATATGGGAAGATAAGGATTATGCACCATCCTCTACAACAATGATGAAACCTACAGATTGATGAAGCCAACAATAATTCCAGAAGTAAATCAAGAAGATCCATTTAAAATCTCTAAAAGCCCTACTAGATATTTTACTTTTGACATTCAGCACACCTCTGGATCAAAAGATAACTTATAGATCTCCGAAGAAATCTATAACAAACTAGGTCAAGATCATGCACACCTAATGTTACTGATGACCACGTCATTCCAGCAGCTAATAAAGCAGAGATTAGTGCTACAGATTTAATGAGTACTTCGACTTTACTTTCAAATAAAAAACCTGCAATATATCAGACTTCACCTGCCGCTTATTTGAGTCCAAGAGAAATAAGACCACTTCCAAGTCCTTACGTTCCCATGGGAACACGAAAAAGATATATTCAAAGGTCTAAGGTGCTTACTAGCACACCGGTTAAGGGAGAACAGAAAGTTAAATTTGTTAAAGCAAATACCAAAGCATTAAAAATATTAACAAAAATTTAAAAACAAAGACTAGACCGAAGAAAAAGACCAACATAACCAAAAATATTGAAGCGAGAAACACTAAACTTAAGAAATTTGAAACTAAAGAAAATGACGAAAACTGCACGTGCTTTTTTTGTGGGGAAAATTATGTTGAAGTTAATGGGCAGCCAGTTGATGATTGGATCCAATGCAGTTCCTGCAAGAAATGGAGCCACGAGAAATGCACGGCATATGAGGGAAAGGGCATTTTTCTTTGTGATAACTGTACTGATAAGTGATTAGTTACTTTTTGTTTTTTTTTTGTTATCTTTACTATATATTTTATTCGTAATTGTTCCTAGTCTGATTGTGTTCACTTTGCCCTTTGGTTCTATCCACTTTACCCGATGGGTTGGGCAAAACGGATAGAAGCGAAGGATGCAATTTAATCAAATTTTTTAAGAAAAATTATTAAGTTACGTTTTTGTTTGTTGATTTCTTTTAAACTTTAATAAAGACTGATTCATATTCCGTCACTATTTTATTTCTATGTCTAGTAGATCACATTCCATAGTCTTTCAAAGCTTAAGATGTCCGCTTTGCCCGGACTTCCCCTACGTAACGCTAGCCTGTGCACTGTCAGGAATTTTACCGTCCGAGATTTTACTTTTCTCTATTCCAGACCGGTTTTTTCAGGTCCGTGATGGCGGCAATGCAAAACGTGTTTACGCTTGTGCACTGCTGTGTTCGACTTGGGAAAAAATAATCGATTTATGAAAAATCTATATTTATTTCGGCGATATTGTTAATTTTCGATATACTGATAATCGATATTTATTGTAGATTATAAAATGCGATATTTATTTATGATGATTTAAATTTTATATGCGAATTTGATCATCGTATGGTTCTAGTATCGATACGTAAATAGATTCTAGAATCATATTAAAATTATTGATAATGTAAAGTAAGACAAATAAGTGTTGTTAAGCTTAGACGCCTAAACAACTGAACCCATCTTAATGGAAATTAATATAGAAATAGACTTAACCTTAAGAAAGGACACAGGCTACATTTAACACGAAAAATAGGTGGAAATAGGGGGATGAAAGTTTGCATGGAAATTTGTCATTATTAAAATTTATTTTTAGACAATTGATAAAATAAGTATAAATAAATATTTGAAAACAGAAGTATTCTAAGAGAAAAACAATTCTGTTCAAAGAAACTATACCATGCGTATAAAAGAAAAGAAAACCGTAATAAATTAGGGCAGGACAAAAGCATTTATTTTTACTACTTTCAGATGTAAAAACTTATTTGTCTGCTGATAACTTTATATATATATAATATATAAATGCTTTTGTCCTGCCCTAATTTATTACGGTTTATTTAAATGACCCTATCAGGTCACGTGCGTGACGTGTAGCTTCAAAGAGAGCTAACCTAAACTGCGTCGCACCGATCCGGAAAAAACGGACTTGTGCACAAGCTACTCATCCGGGTTTTTCATAACATTCCCGACCGGAATAAATCGGACCGCCGGACCTGAAAATTCAGTGTAGTGCTAAAAGCGCCTTAAGTGTTATTGTAGGAATGCCATATCTATGGGTTGGTGCGGGTACATACTTATATACAGACCTGCTCAATCAGGTCAGAGAACACAAATTGGTATTATTAGAGTGGTAATAGTACACCGATTGTCTGACATCAGTTCGTCCCCACTTTTGATCACCACATATATTGTATTTAGAACACTCAAATTATACTGCACGCTTTTTAATTAAGCGCGCGATTTATAGCTATCAAAATATCTACATGACATACATCTGGTCTGATATTTTCTCGTTGGTAGCGCCTGCTTCAAGGCTCATCTGAATCGAGCTGTCGAATGACAATAAATTAGTTTACACACTACCCCCAAATCTCGGTCAGGCCGAGAACTTTTCAAACCATCCTCGTATTTTTGTAGTTTTGCTTACCCGTCTCGTTTCTCCCATTTTGATATACTGCGCCTGATCGTCACTCTCTGGCTTCTTCACGATACAGTACTTCGCTGGCTCTAGCGTGGTCGTTGGTCTGGTCGTGGTCGTTGTGGTCGTGGTGGTAGTCGTGGTTGCGGTGGTCTTAGTCGTGGTTGCCGAAGTGGTCGTACGGGTGGTCGTCTCAATCACCGGCTCAGAGATCTGTTCGATTTTCGGTACCGCCGTTTGTTCTGACTGGGTCGTGATAGGGCTAGGGGGTTCTCGGTTATCCTGAAAACAAGAAATGTTCCTATTTGAGAAGGATGTAATAATATTATTTTAATTTTATATTGTTTTCTTTATCATTAATTCTTCTCGAGCGATGAAAAAGCAGACTTTTTAAATTCGTGTGTATATATATATTTTTTTGTATACATATGTGACGCCTTACTTTTCACAGAATATTTTTCTACGAAGTCACTCTTTGTATACCTCAAACCAGGCCCCTCTTAAGTACAACAGGCGCCCGGGTGCAAGCAGAGCTCTGGCGCCCCCCACCCATCCATTACAGGGAACTTCATCCTCTCAGATATTTTTATTTAGAATATTTATTTCTCTATTAGCTCGGTGGTGTAGAGGATAAGCGCCGCGGCTGCGATCGTTGTCGTTAAGCAACTTTCGCAAGGGTGGGTCACGGGATGGGTGACCAAAAAAATATTATCTCGAGCTACTCCATGCTTTGGAAGGCACGTTAAGCCGTTGGTCCCAGCTGCGTTTGCAGTCGTTAATACCCTCCAATCCGCATTGGGCCAGCATGGAGGGTCATGGCCCATCCTCCTTAACCATCCATAAGGAAGGCCTGAGCCCCTGCAGTGGGGACGCAAAAGGGCTGATGATGATGATGAGTCATAGTTATTGGCATATTTTAATCAAAAGTATATTCAACCGTAGATGATGGTTTTGACTGTTATCGACAGCAAGAACGTGGACTGTAGTTAATTAAAATCAAATTAAAGAGATAAATAAGCGCGAAAAAGATATAATTTTGGAAATATTTAAATCACAAGTGTAAATCTTGTAAAGTTAAGATATAAAATTCAAATTAAAAATATAAACACCTATCTAAAGAGGCTGGCAAGACTTTCGTCAACATAACAGTAGCATAATCATCTTTTGAAACAACGGAACTTGACTTTAAACTGGAAGAGTTGAATATGGCGAGCTGTAGGTTGCCGACCCCTGATCTAGACTGAATCAATTATTTTGTTTAAAAGGTTCACCTCAAGTTCAGCTTTAACTCCTCCACGGTGGGTGGTATGACGATTATGATGGGTGGTGGTGCGGTGGACAATCGCAGGCTCTGGTGGGACGGTCATGTAGTTGATGGTCTCTATTGCCGTGGTGGTCAACAACGATCCGTAGGTCTTCACGTGGTAATCACTTTGAGATTCCACTGGAAAGAGATAGCATGAAGTATTAATCAAACTATACATAAACTATAGTGCAGGTTGCTACTTTTGTAAGCGAACCTTCAAATAGTTTATAATTATTTATTTGGAAATATCAAAATTGCTTGGTAATTTACGAGTGCGTTTATTCTTCCTCATTAAGTCATTAAGGTTTATCTGCAATAATATTACAATAAGAACCCTTTTTATTGTAATGATAGGTCATGTCAATACTAATACGATGTCAAAAATTGTCCCCTTCATAGACTATAATTAAACATGCGACTGACCAGACGTATAATGATTTAATGCATTTTTAATCCCTACATTTACTGTAACTAGTTAAAGACTTTGATCAACAGTTCAACTTAAAAAATTTGATGGCTAACATTATTATTTCTCGTCGTCGTTAGTGTATATATTAGTTGTCCGTGAATAAATAATGAAACCTTTCAAGCGATAAAATAAACCTGACACTGATATATGTATAATAACAGGGCTTCGATAGCAATCGGAATCGGAGTATTTTTTTAGCTCTAGAGTTAGGTTTCGATGCTCCGAATCCAAACCCCGAGGTTTCGGTGTTTGTCATAGAGTTTCAAATAAATGTAAGATAGTAGAGCGTAGGCACTAAAGTCGAATAGGGATGATGACTAATTTTTGTTTGTTTGTCCGTCAGGTAGAGTATTAAAAAACATTAAACAAGTATTTTTTTCGTAATCATAAAATTACGGCGTTACAAGGAGTTGAAATTCGCATGACGTACTACTCAACTGTGACGTAGCGAGCCCCCACTCCTCAACTTTAATGCCTGTTATCTAAGCTATTTCTTGTTAAATTGAAGTAAAAAAAAAAATACGTATCTAATATTTTTCTATTATCTGACTGACGGACTAAATAGAATTGCATTTTTTTTACCCAGTCGTCATCCCTATTGTCCGTTATAATCTTTGACAGATCTTTTTAACAATTTGTAACTGGTGTATTTACTCTATTTTTATGACACAATATTTATTTTTCTGATTTAAACGCAAATCAAATAAAAATGTATACTTACGTATGAAATGTGATCCCTTGATCTTAAGATGACTTACTTATGTCGTTTCTACAGTTTCGCATAACACAGGATGGCATTTTTAAAATGATTGTGGAACATGAACGCATACAATCAACGCTTTCGCCAGACTGTGCTCAGGTATGCTAAATAGCATAGTTTTAAGGTGACACTTTTTGAATTGAAGTAACCTATCTACCTTTTTAATTGTAATATCATTGCTTATCTATATGTTCCGCACACTTCTGCCAATATCTATAGATTAAATTTGTTAAATTAAAAATAAATTAATTTCTACGTGTAAAATGAAAATTAAATGATTGAAAGATTGCGATGAACTCGAGTGAATTTATAACGACTCTTTGCGTGATGTCGCTATGACAATTTCAATTAGGTACCTATTCTGCTCGTAGTCAGAGGTGGGGAATTGTACCTTCCTTCTCCTCTTTCCCCGTAAGCTGATGGCGAATAGTTTTATTTCATAAATAAACAGCCTATTAATATCTGAGAAATAATGTAGAACAGCAAGCCTGCGATTAGAAGTTACTGAGATATGGTGCTATAATTGTGGAACTACTGCTATATCGGCCGAAAACGCTTCCTGCAAATTCAAGTCACTAAGTGACGTCACACGGTGCGGTAGAGAAGAAAGAATGGGTGTCTGGGCAATATCTTTATTTGTGTGTTTATGTTTATAGCTGTAATAATTAAAGTTTTTATGTTTTATGTAAAAAAAATAGTGCCATAATGTATTTAAGCAAATTTTTTAATGTATTTTCTCCACTTTTTTCAAGTTTTCAAAACGTAATATTTTCCAAATCAACGTCATAAAATTTATTCTGTTAAATTTTATAAGTCAAAATTATACATATTTTTCGAACATATAACAGTAACCTATATTTTCACTTGTAGGACACAACTCTAATGGTACATCTATTGCTCAACATTGCTTTTTGGGTAGATGACCCGGTTTTATTTTTAGATTATTATTTCAAGATTATGCCTGGTTCTGGCCATTTCAAGAATTACGAGGAAATGTATTTTGATTCAACATTGCTGTCAAACATATTATTTTTGCCATATTACAACATTTAAAAAACTGTTAACGGTAAAATAATTTGCCTGTGCGTTAGAACGCATTGCAGTGACATATGGCCAAAAAGGCGGCAGGGGCCATAGCCAGGTCTTCTGTCCTATTTCTTCAGAAACACAAAACTTACCGACGCAAGGATTCAGCCACAGTAGTCGTTGCCAGCCGAGGCAGTCGTACAGCTGAGCAAAGTCGGTGCCGCGGCATGCGCACGCCGCTCGCAGCTGAGTGCCGAGCACAGCTACGACCGCGGAACGGCAAGCCGCTGGCGATCCAGCGCAGCCCTGAGTCACAGCGTCTACAGCACACCATTGTTCATAGTTCTCCAGACGGATCCTGCAATGAAATGAAAAATAAAATGGTTTCTCTTTTATCAAAAAAAGATTGAATAGGCTCTGAAACCACTGGACCGGTTTAGAGAATTGTTACTTGTAGAGAATTAATTTTTCTATATTATATCCGGTCTGCCTTGGAGTAAAATTGTTCTGTGCTGGGTAATGTGGTTCCTACGTTGTCTCAGATACGTACTTCATAATATAGGTAGGTGTACATCTCGATTTTAGGACTTTGCCAACATTATAGACCCAATTTCAACGAATATTTTTCAAAAATCATGTTCTCATAAATGGAGAACCCTAAAGGATTAGAGTATCAGTTTAGCGTAAACTAATAGTTCATTTTGCTTCACAATTTTCATTTTACCCTCCAAAATTGTCTGATCAAACTATAACCATTCTAAACGCAATATATTTACGCCCTCATAAATAATAAATAGCACGTAACAATGGGCTGAATATCCCCCCTCTTGTCGAACAAATGTGTCCTGAATGCCTCAAAGATTTTTTTCTATATATACATGATGGTAATAATCCTGAAATCTTGCTCGTAAAAAGTTTATACAAATGTAATATCTTGGAAGCAAACACGAAGGAAGACTTCGCTCGAGTTATCTTGTAGTGGCAACGAGTAAAATGAGATTTCAGTAGGTTCCCTTCAATTTACAAATAAATAAAAATAAAAATTTAAATCCGATGTTGAAGAATTTGTCGTTAGTCGTATATCCAGCTCTTTCGCGGTTTAGAAGGCAACTTTCCTTTTAAAGCACGAGAGGTTCTAGTGCTTCTTTCTTTCGTTATTGATCTCAGAAAATTCTGTATTACAGCATTTTTATCATTTAGGGCATCACATCATAAGTAAAACGATCTCCACGTCACTTATTCTTCAACTCGAAATCACTCGGCGTTGCAGTGCTATTCTGTTATAAATGCTGTTTTGAAATCATCGTTGAGCAAAGCGCTTTTATAGTGGTTCAATCAATGGAAAGCATCTTCATAAGTATATAGGGTAAAACCGGGACCCTATTACTGAGACTCCGTTATCCTTCCGTCCGGCAGTCACCAGGCTCTATTTCATGAATCGTGAATTAGTGATAGCTAGGTAGTTGAAATAGTTACAGATTATGTTTTTTTGTTGCAGCTATAACAATACACTAAAAATGGAATAAAATAAATGTTTAAGCAACAGCTCCCATACAAAAAAACGTATTTTTGCGTTTTATAAAGATAATGGTGCCAACCTTTTTGCGAGACTCGTATTTGGCTAGGTTGTTTAACATAAATAATTATACTTGTTACATTACTCATAAGTTCTAAAAATAATACGACGTATTGTTTTCTTTACTAGCTTGTTTTATTCCATAAACTTAATTGATCAAAGAAGTGTGATTCTTGCCCTGCATTATGTGAATTCAACATATCCTTGGGACGAGACCTGGTGACCTATAAATTTAGATTTATCAAAACCTCTGTTAGGCACCAGCTTCTCTCAAGCTGTACGATTTGATTTCTTGTTATAGTATGTACTTAGAATAAATAAATAAATGATTAATACTATTATTACCTTCAATAGGACACGTTACACGTTATATTTGAAACCGGGTACTATTTTAAAAAGTGTAGAATATCACAACTGGTTGTATATTGTAAAGGGTTCAATATATTTTTAAAAGTAACCCACTGTCTTCGTTGCACTGTGTGATGGATTACGTAAACGGATGTTGAATTATTCGTCGTCGAGATTTCTCATATTCTCGTCCAGCTTAGAATTTCTATTTATTTGTCAGACTTCTATATATAGTAAATATTGGAAAATGTTGCCGTCGTCTTAAATAGAAAATGTCAAATAGTTTCTGAAAATCATTTAACTGAATTCGGTGTCCGCCTTTGTATAACACAATAGATATCGATATAGTTTTCAGTATTGTATAAGAAATTTATTTAGGAAAACTTATTTGATGTGTGAATCGTAGTATTTCGTAAAAATAAGTAGGACACGTAAACCACTCAAATAACATAATAAAAATGTTAAATACTCCAAATTAAAAAATCGGACTATAGGTAAAATACTTTTAATATTATAAGTAATAATAATAATTATAATTATATAAAATAAGTTTACTTGTTTGAAAGTTTGTAACAAATAGAAAACAGTTAATAGATTATTATATACTAGCTTTTTTCTTGAGACTTGGCTCACGTAAATTATAGACCAAGTTACCTGTGTACGTAACTCTTAATAAAAAGCAATAAAATTTAAACTACTTATTTGTATTACAATAAATGATCCTATATTGTATCCTCCTTTTTTTAATAAAACCACGTTAATGTTAAGATGCTTATTGGCAACTAAATGATTATGTGACTGTTTACTTGATGTTGCTATTGAGTTATAACTCTATTGGTGCTATTAGTCCCCTATATATATAATCGCGGTTAGCCAGGGATTCAAAAACCAAGTCTACTAGATTGCTGGTTAACAGGGATATCACCAGGCGTTCCATTTGTATTGAAAGCGCCCCGAAAGGGCTCGGATTTTTTATCATAAATCGTAGAAATACACATCCGTTGCGCACCTTCACCATTGGACTTTGCGTGATGGCCATTACGGCGAAGGCTGACAAAAGTACCTGAAACAAACTAATGCGACCCGGGCAATTCCCGGGCAACCTCAACGGATGGCTAATGATTTCAATTACTGCAAAACCAAAATCACGATATCTTAATAATTAAAAGTGTAAAATTTTAGAGTAATAACGTAATAAAAATTTCTATATAATGGTTATTCTCAGCAGAATAACGAATAATTTACGGACCAACGCTAGGCCAACTCAAATTACAATTCATATAATTTGTAAATTAAGTGAGTACTATTATTATACAATACAACTAGGATAAGTGTTGCACATTCGGTGAATTATCCATTTTTTGTGAGACGCTAAACGAATAAAAGCGTGCAAGAACTTAATTGAATTAGATATATTGTTAACTAAATGATCTATAAATAATTATAGTAGTATAAAGCCATTGCTAATTATAAACACTCCACTCGATCTATCAAGATGCATGTTCGAAACTTGTTAGCTCAATGTTGACGTAAAGGGTTGACAACTACATAAATTTTTAATCAATCCAGAATCATAATGATGTAGATGATGTAAAAAGTGAGGTAGTAGAGAAATGTTAATAGCAGAAAAAACTTCTCAGAGACGTATTAAAATAAAAACATTTATGTATAAAAAATCGAATCGAACACTTGCCAGGACATAATCGTCATCAACCGTCTTATTATAAAAAGAGGAATAGCTCTAGAACTAGGTTTAAACCATTATCCGATCGAAATAAGACGACACGTCTGAACTTGACTTATCGCCTCTGCCATTGTAAATTTGTTTTAGGCGATCTACCGCGAGCTTTACGTCAAGATTTCCTAATTGACAATGGCAGAAGAGATAAGTCAAGTTCAGACGTGTCGACTTATTTTGATCGGATAATGGTTTAAACCTAGTTCTAGAGCTAGTCCTCGTTTTATAATAAGACGGTTGATGATGATTATGTTCTTGCAAGTGTTCGATTGTGATCAGGTGTTTTTATACATAAATGTTTTTATTTTAAAACGTCTCGGAGAATTTTTTTCTGCTATTACCATTTCTACTCCCTCACTTTTATTATTGATTAATTAAAAACTAGCTTTTACTAGCGACTTCATCCGCGTGGTAAAGTTACTTTGCCGGATATTTATTCATTATATCGTGTAAAATACTTGAAATAAAGTTTCATCCCCTATTTTATCCCCTTAGGGGTGGAATTTATCAAAATCCTTTCTTAGAGGATGCCTACGTCATACTGGCTTTATGCATGCAAATTCTCAGCCCGATCGTTTTAAAATTGACAAACTTTCATCCCCTATTTTATCTCCTTGGGGGTAGAATTGATCAAAATTCTTTCTAAGGGAATGCCTACATCATAGTAGCTTTATGCATGCAAAGTGTCAGCCTGATTGTTAAAAAATTACAAAGTTTCATACAAACTTTTATCCCCTTGAGGGTAGAATCGATCAAAATCCTTTCTTAGCGGATGCCTATGTCATAATATCTACCTGCATGCCAATTTTCAGCCCGATTCGTCCAGTGTTTTGGGCTGTGCGTTGATAGATCACTATGTCAGTCAGTCACCTTTGAGTTATATATATTTAGATTTATGGAGTTGACAGCCCTTTACGGCAACATTGAGCAAACAAGTTCGAACATGCCTCAATAGATCACTGGTGTTTACAGTTAGCAATGGCGTTGTACGTAATATATAATTATTTAGAGATATATCAAATTCAATTAAGTACTTGCACGCTTTTATTCGTTAAGCGTCTCACAGAAAAATGGATCATTCACAAAATGTGCAACACTTATCTTAGTTGTATAGTAATAAACTAATAACTATTGTAATAATAGCACTCCCTTAATTTACAAATTACTTGAATTGTAATTTGAGTTGGCCTAGCGTTGGTCCGTAAATTATTCGTTATTCTGCTGAGAAAAACCATTGTATAGAAAGTTTTATTATGTTATTACTCTAAAATTTTTCACTTTTAATTATTTAGATATCGTGATCTTTGTTTTGCAGTAATTAGAATCATTAGCCATCCGTTGAGGTTGCCCGGGAATTGTCGGGGTCGCATTTGTTTATTTCAGTGGCTATTGTCAGCCTTCGCCGTAATGGCCGTCACGCAAAGTCCAATGGTGAAGGAGCGCAACGGATGTGTATTTCTATGATTTATGATAAAAAATCCGGGGCTTTTCGGGGCTCTTTCATTACAAATGGAACGCCTGGTGATATCCCAGTTAACCAGCAATCTAGTAGACTTGGGTTTTGAATCCCTGGCTAACCGCAATTATATGTATAGGGGTCTAATGGAGCCAGTAGAGTTATAACTCAATAGTAACATCAAGTAAACAGTCACATAATCATTTAGTTGCCAATAAGCATCATTGCATTAACGTGGTTTTATTAAGAAAAGAAGGATCAAATATAGGATCATTTATTGTAACACAAAAAAGTAGTTTAAAATCTATTGCATTTTATTAAGAGTTACGTACACAGGTAACTTGGTCTATAATTTACGCAAGCCAAGTCTCGGGAAAAAAGCTAGTATATAATAATACATTAACTGTTTCCTATTTGTTATATACAAGCTTTTATTTAACTTGCCTTGTTCGTATGTATGTTAGTTAGTTAGTGCGAAATACTTGACCTACTTCCCAATGTCCGATAGATTTGAAATTTTGCATAGTCATGTAAGTCAAATGACAATACAATATTATGGTGTCAGTAAGCTGATATGATGATGAAGTCGGAAAGTGGTCATAAGAACTAAGAGATGAAATGACACAACTACATCGTGTTTGTGCTCGTTAGATCCGTCTTTATGAGGACTTTGGTACTGGATGCTTTACAGACCAAAGTCTGTTGATGATGGAGCTGGAAGGTGGTCATAGTAACTTTCAATTAGTTATAACGCAGGCTCACCGTGTTTGAGCTCTTTAGATTCGTCTTTATAAGCATAACAATATATGGAGACGGCTTAAATAAAAGTTTTTATTTGTGCACACTAACGTAAATAAGTAATAAGTATTATAATAAAAAAAATTCAAACAGTAATTGACTTGAAAAGTTTGTAGTTAGTAAAAAATGTGTGTATTACCTCGTCTACGATGTCATTAGCGCTACAAGTACTACAATTACTGTTAGAGAAAATTTTGACTATAAATACTTTAATTTTTTAGAAGTTATATAATTACGTTTTAGTGAGCACAAATAAAAGCTTGTTTAAAAAAATATTTTTATTATATTTGTTATTCAAATCCCTTTGCTTTGAAACCATATCTGACGACAGGGTCTGAACATAAGCATCATAATAACATGGGTTTCACTAAAATATATCCATTCTTCAAATTATATGTAGGTCAATTAAGAGTTGAGAGTTATTTTTAGTTGTATTCCACTTACCTGCATTCTGCATCTTCGCGACAAGCATGGGCTAGAGTATGACAAGCTGGTAGAGGAGAACCCACAGGTGGACGTTGGGCACACGACGGATGCAGTCGCTCCTGAGCGTTCATGCAAGAGTCTTCGCGGTTATCAGTTTTTCTGCAAGAATACCGTAAAATCTAGTATAATAAACCTATTAAATGTTCCACTATAGTGGCAGAGGTTTTTCTATGAATAGAAACATCGTGAGAATGGAGTTTAAGATATCTTAAGATTGCAGAAGAAGTTGAATTAACGTCTTCTCATGACATCACATGAAGTCAAGCTTCGTGATAGCTTCTTTCACAATAGGCAACCATATCATCTAACACTTTGATGAGATGATAAGGAAGGAATAGTTATTTTTTTTTTCTAAAAGTATAAAACTAAAACTTACTTGCAAAGGCAGAAAGCAATCTCCGTATTCCAGTGCACACCTGGCTTCCTATAGAAGCCACGTAGAGCCGCCATACATCCCTCTCTGTCGCACTCCATAGCGTGACACTTCTGGAGGACCGGCGTCAATGACGTCATACACTCTCCATCTTTGATGCACGAGTCGAGAGCTACGTGGCAGGTGGACTGCAACGCCACCTTCTCATCATCTGATCTACCGTTTTCTTTCCCAATCCTCTCTGCAGGTTTTTGGGAGCATATTAGTTTTAGTGTTAAATGTGTGTCCAAGCTGTGGTGATTGTGTTTCATTAAATGTCAATTTTAACAAACCTATAAGTGACACGACATAGGTATGGACATTTAGAACACGGTGTTATGTCCTAAAACTTTAGAAAAGAGAATAATTAGTGAATGTCAATATATTTTTAATATACCTTATCCTGTAAAGACATAAAAGCAGATCAGACACATCGTTTATTTAAGAATGCACGCAATAGTAATGCAACTAAGCACATATAGGATGACGATATTATTTACCTTAGCCGTTTGTATTAGAATTTTAAATTGTAAACACCCTAACTTAGTCACGCCACACGTAAGAGAGAAATATCTATATTCCCTTAACAACAATAAAACAAATACTTATATAGATAAAATAAATAAAAACATAACGTCAACGTTACTGAAATAAATAATAAAAACATATGAGTATAATATTCGAAAGTGATATTATACATACAGATAATTACAATATGCTCATGCCAAGACAAATATAATTTACAAATAGTGTTAAAGTTGATAAATATGACACATGTGAAGAAAACCTTGGAAAAATTGCGTCTTGTGATCAACACGATGAATTTGCCAATGGTAAAATTATGACTAATATGATGAATTTCGAAATAACTAAGCGATATTCGTTACTCAATCATGCTTCAACTCTCAACTTTGTCAACTTTATTAAAAAAATCAGTCGAGATTATTTAATTGAACTATGCAATCGGAATACGTAATTTCTTGTATTGAGTTCCATTAAACAACCTCATTGGAATACAAAAATTCAAATTAAAACTGGCGGAAGCTCCCCGTCTTCTGTATCTAAGCACTTACTAAGTCGTTTCTTCACAGCTAAATCTTCTACGATTTTATTGTGAATCACAAAGGATGGAAGCAAATCTCGAGGGTTCTAAAGCGTTGGATCTATAAGTTCCTTTCTAAATCCTTCGGCTACATCAAAAATGACTTTGCGTTTGTTTAATAAAGTCATTTTCCTAACTTCGAAGTGGAAATCTAACTCTAAGTGCCCCGTACTAGGATAGAAATAAAAGGGGATTGAGCACTTCAATCAATCAGGTGCTAAATTCAAAATTACTCGTGGATCCAAACGAGTTTTGATACAGTACATACAGTCGTAAGCTTAAAGTGAGTGTAAATACGATATCTATGGTTGTACTGTTTTTAAGTGTATTATGTGAATCCTTTAGGACGTTTACTAACTTCAAGAACAAATACAAAGGAATATTTTTTTAATATTCATAACTGTCACAGTAAAAGAAATATATAATATTTTTAAAACAGGGTCTCCAGAATTTTTGTTATGGATCAGATTGTTATAGCTGGCTTCCTATTGTACTTGTTATATCTGCACCGATCTCTTGAAACTTTAAATTTTATAGTTCGCAATATAAAAGAGATTAGTCAACGTCCTTTACTAATAAACCATACGTACGGTTCTCATCGATGTATCCAGGGCCGTAGACGGTCTTGGTCGCGAAAAGGGGGTCTTCGCTTCCCCCTGGTTCATGGTTCCATCGGTGATAGTGATGATGGGGGTTGTAGTGTGGACTCGAATATCGGTGTACGTGGGTCATAATTTTGTCCGGTGCAATCAGGTTTCCATCCTGAGTTATGGACATACCGCCGATCCAGGAGGTCACAGAGGTGCCAGTTCGGTTCGCCGTGCGTCCGTCGAGCATCAGCTTTACTGGAATTGCATCCATGGAATCGCTTAGCTTCTGATTGCTCGACGACCGAGCCAGAGCGACGAGACAAGATGATCGCGCCGGCCGATCGATCGAACACATCGATAAAAAATATCCTAAACGACAATCCAAACACAACGATATCGGCAAACACGACATTCATCGGGCAACAATTATAAATGAAATAAAAAAACTTTGATTATTTAATATATCGAAAAATTTGGTCCCGTTCAGAATTAGCAAAGCCTCCGAGGGCAGTCCCGATTTAACTATTAAAGCCAAGTCTATGCCGCGCAGTAACCATAGAGATCGTAGAAAATTAGAAGATGCAGAAAGTAAACATGCACTCATGCTTATTTCAATATAACCCTTTAGACTTTCGAGTTGCTTAATAACAATAACATTAATAACTATATGAGTGTATCGAAAGTCTAGAGTGATATTATATCATAGAAAAAGGGAAAAGGAAACGACAGTAACCTAAAATCATGCAGGTATAAAGTAGGAGCGAATTATCGAAAAGCTAAATTTGAATACAGCTAAATGTAAACCTTGCACTGTTATTATTCGTGAAGTAGGTTTTCCTTTCATTCATAAATTAAAGCAAATTTTTGTAACCTAATCAATCAGCTTAAGTTTAAATATAAAACTTTGATTGTGATGAAAATGTTTCGTGATCAAAAATTGGAATATTAAAAGTGATTAACCATCCAGTCATCAGATGGTCAAGTGGCGCTCCTACCTTACGAAGCTGTGCGAAGCGTGCAGTGCTATAGGCGACGGAATCCGACAGAGACACATAGAGAAAGAGAGAGAAGAGTTGGCGCGGCGCGGCTCACCGTGGCGGGGCCGAGGGGGTCGCGGGGAGAGGAGGGCAGCGCGCAGGAGGCTGGCGGCGGCGGCACGAGTCATCAGTCTGGTGCCATTCTCGGTGAGCAGCAAGATGGTACCGTCGGGCGCAGCGTAACGGGTGAGAGGAGGCGCGCGGACGGGCGCCCGCCGGGGCGGCTCGAACAACGCGCGGACAGCCGGTGGGCACTCGCCCCATGTTGCCGCTGCCCCATAACAACGTCACCAACAACCCACCAACGGTGTTTGGGAGCCGCACATCACATGCTACACTTAAGGGACTGGTGATACTATTGTTGATTTCAAATAGAGAGTTCTGTGATATGATTGTACTATCTGAATTAAACGTGTGTTGAAAGATATAAATGAATCATCCCTTAAGAGTAACAAACAGAGACGAGGTAGATGCGAGAACACTAGGGTAGCTCGCCGCCCAATGAGGTGTAACGACAGCCTATAGACTGTCATCGAAGACCGAAGGTGTTGGAAGCCAAGAGTTGAGGTAACTGCGGGCATTTGTACGTGTGTGAGGTCAGGAGTACGCTAAAAAGAAGCTTAGTGTCCGTGAAACATAAAGGTTACAGCCTTGTGTGGTAAAGTAGTGATCTAAGTCAATCCTAAGGCCTAGGCATCTAATCAGTGTTGAAAATAAAGAGGCACGAATAAAAAAAATAGAAAAACTAAAAATAAATACGTAAAACAACTAATTAAACACGTTAACGGCTATTGACAGTGAGTCTAGTACTCCTCAAAGCGTTTTATAAGTGTAGTGTTACTGTTTCGTAGTTTTATTGTTTATAAATAATAATTTGGCTGCAGTTTTATGTTTTTCTTCTCAACATTTTTAATGTGCAATATTTTCGAAGACATTTGGTAAATCAAGAAAACGTTAAAATTGGGCATTGATAATAATGATATTCCACAAGGTACTTTATTGGGCCACAATGTTTCCCTTTTCAGTGTCAAATTACACGTGTACCTATGCATTGCTTTTAAACACTTAAAGCTATAATACGGTGTTATAATTATAACACCAGTTCTGCAAGTTCTGAGTGAGAAAATATTTGAAATCGAATAGGTTTTCTTGATACAAAATGCTTAAAAAACTTGCACTTGCGTTTTGTATTAAGAATATTTTTCAGTATGGCATTGTGAATGCAAAATTAATTAAAATAGATGAATAGGTTTTTATGCACATCAAGCACAAGCGTTTTTGTTAATAGGTTTTTAATCAGACAGATTGATACTAAGTTAAATAATTAATGACTTTAATTTCCATCTTAAAAAATACTATTTATATGATTGTAATATTTTTTCTGCTGCATTTGCAGTCGTTAATACCCTCCAATCCGCATTGGGCCAGCGTGGAGGGTCATGGCCCATCCTCCTTAACCATCCATAAGGAAGGCCTGAGCCCCTGCAGTGGGGACGTAAAAGGGCTGGTGATGATGACGATGATGATTGTAATATTTTTAACTGATTTCAAAATCCAAAAGGAAGAGGTTATATGTTCGACGGCGATGTATTTTTTATGTATATACACCGATATTGCCGCCAATTATTGGCCGATTTTCAATATTCTTTTTTATTTGACAGCTTAATGACCGAGGTGGTTCCATTTAAATTTTATCAAAATTGAATCAATAGTTTTCATTTTATAACAAAAAAAAAAATACGCTTTTCACCAATTATCACACAAATATTTAGTTAATACGGTAAGACATAGGCCTTTCCAGCTAAAAAAAAATATAGTGAATTTGTAATGTTCAAGGAATAAGTATATTATTTTATGAAAGTTAGTAGGAATTGCGAACCAATTTCTATCAAACAAGATGTTAAATATTTTTATCTATATGGATATTTAATATTTTTAGTATTACCTATTATTTTAAAAAAAATATCAATATTACTAAAAAGCATGAATAAAAACATAAAAAAATAGAACTGACTTCAAACTTAAAAAAAACTGATAAATAATATTTATCGCAAAAGCTACTTATTCAAGAAAATGTACTATTGAATTCGGGCCCCTATTATTTAAATAATAACCTACAGAAGCCTGGACCTCCACCAATTGCATTTTTTAGAATAAGAAGCTTTTGAGATTTGTAAAGTTTTTATTTCATGCTGTATAGTGATATTCATATTTTTGGTATATCTACTAGTAGTCGAACGAAGTTGACCTTCAATTTTCTTGTCTTTAAATGAACAATGAAACAGTAAAATTCTAACCGTATCAATATAACTCCGAGTGTAACATAACAAAGAGTTGAAAAGGTATTTTTCAGTAGCGCGGCGGATATTTTTCCAGGGGCCCAGCAACTTACAGAAACCAATTTGAACAGGTGTGAACTTTCTCACAACGTGAAAGCGAGCGTATACAGGGGTGGCTACGTAATGAGCTAAAATTGTCTTTGAATTTAAATTTTGGACTATTATTTATGATAATGTTAATTCATTATTCAGGAAAAGAGTAAGCGGGATTGGGTTGTAAGTAGGTTAAAAAGCGTTGTTTTAAAGTATGGAAAAAATAAGGAGTTCTTAATTCGTAATCTGTAATAACAAACTGCTATTTTACTTAAATATACTGAATCTTAAATTTTTATTAAAGTACGATTTAAAACAATTGTATTCATTTATTAGGAGGTATACATTGTGTCACATTAGTAATGGTCAGTATGAAAAACTCTGAAACTATTAGATATATAAAGATCTGCACAGCGACCGCCTAACTCTAATGAGGCAGTATAAAAAAAAATTAGTTCCCAAACTCAAACTAGATGTCGTTACGGTATAAAAAGTAAATTAATTTGAAAGACTCATACAATCAACTCATATTCTATTTGCATTTTTCGTATTTGTATTGATATGTAAGTTTTGAACTTTGCAAATTTTAGTTTCTTAATATGTTAGTTAAAAGGAACGGATATGATCTATCTTTGGTTCATTCGTTTCTTGCAAAAATTAACTTTTGGTAGAGTCGCCATCAAATGAGATGCTTTTTTATTGCTTTCTTTTTCTATTCTGGTAATAGGATCGCAGCGATTTTATGAGGATATTTTGTTTAATGTCACTTACACGTTGTTTGGTGGATTTCGGGATAAATAACTAAGTTGTTAACACTGCTATCAAATCCATAATCATCATTCTTTATTGTTCGTTCGTCGTTACTAAAGTACATATCGAAGTAGTAAAATGAAACGATTATTGATATAACATCGCTAAGATGTCGTAGCCTGTGGTAGAATCATGGCTAGAGAGTTAGGAGGTCGCACCCCTGTTCTTGGAAATACATGTCATCGATTTTATTGAAAAGAAAATTTGCATTCTTAGATAAAATAGCTCGTGAATCGAATCCGGAAGTTTTAAAATATAAAACATGATGTATAAAATGAATGAAATCCATTGTTTTAATATTCTTGAGTTTATTTTAGAAGTATTCGAAATGACAACCAGTTTCTTATATTATTCAACTTGTTTAGGTGCGTAAAATTGCTTCTATCGTTGCTTGTTTCATTTTAGACACCAAGTTTCATAGCAACAATAATTGTTTAACTATTTCAGTAAAGTGTCCGACAACCCTAACGGGCGTCGATTCAGGATCATTGTTCGAGCTGTTTGTTTTCTATGGCTTTGTTGAAAACTAATGTTGCCAGTGAAAGGTGACAATGTTGCTAGAAAATTTTTCAGTAAAAAACTTCAGAATGTTTTTCCGCTTTTTAAATGGCCTCCATTACCATTTATTCCTCGTAAATTGAAAATAAAAATAGAGAATAATTTATATAAAAGATCAGGATTTGACTATGTCACTGTTTCGTGTCTATCCATTTGTCTGTAACAGGGTTGAAGATATTATTAAAAAGAGGATAGATTTGAAGATGTTATTATAAAGAGGAAATATTTGATTTTTTGTTTGCTCTAGAACTACTATACCGATTCCACAATTTGCTTTCACCTACGGGAACATCATACGCGGGTGATATAGGCTCGATATACACGCTTTTATATATTAATTAGAATAGGGCTTGAAACCGGTTCAGAATAAACCGTTTTTATTTAGGTAAAACCTGTTCTTTTATAATGTTCCGTTCCGGATCGGAACTAAATGCGGAGTGAAATTCGGATGGAATAAAAACCGGTTAATTTGCTTGGTTCGTAAAAAGCAATGTTCCTAGGCTTTTAATGCGAATTATATCATTTTTAAGCCACGACATTTATCATACCTGTACGGATGTTATAGATAGGAGTAAAGGCACTTATAAAACCGCGCTGAAGTTTGTGAGATCATTGTTTGGAGTCATATTTAAACCGGTTAATGAAGAAAACCGTATTTCTAGTGAACCGGTTTAAAAACCTGTTCAAAGGAGCTGAACCTTTTATGAAAAGTTTCGCATATACTTACGTCGAACAGGTTCAAAAAATTAACCGGTTTCCAAGCCCTGAATAAAAATCCTGTCTAAAAATAATCCTCCTCGGAATTTCACTGACAAGATGTTTAACACGTTCTGTTATGTCCACAGTTGTCTGTTTAATATGAACTATACTAATATTTTACATATAGATGAAAGATTTAATTCTTATTAAATTTAATCAAATATAAAAAGATTCGAAAGAAGGTATATTGGTATATCTGCCAATAACACCCACCCGCAAAAACTTCAGTTACTCCGTGATTATGGCGTTTGCAACAGTGCCGATATATGGGGAACTCGAGATCGTATTATACAATCGTTCTAATTTAATATGTAACCATGGCTACCAACATTTTCAAGACTTTCTAATTACAGCTATGCTTTTGTAGAGACTGTAATTTTGCTTAGCAATAAGGGCCATAGGTTACTAGGGCTGCGAGCGGTCGCGTGCTTTTATTTTATTATGAACTAGCTTTCCGCAAGCGGCTTCGCCCGCGTGGACTTGTTTATACATAAAAACCTTTCTTTTGAATCACCCTATCTATGAAAAAAAACCGCATCAAAATCCGTTGCGTAGTTTTAAAGATTTAAGCATACATAGGAATATAGGGACAGAGAAAACGAGTTTGTTTTATACTTTGTAGTAATTAATACTAATATGGTAATTTGTCAAAATTAATAATAAAAATACCAGTTTTTCTGACGGTATTTGGCAGATTTTATTATATAACAACGAAGAAGTTTTTTAACGAAGCATTAAAATATAAGTCGTTACCATATTTTTTGATTAACGT